CCACCATTGACTCGCTGTCTGACCGCTTCTCGATGGCCACTGCGGCTCCACTTCGGGTCCAATTGTCTTCTTTTCAACACTTTTCGATGATATTCTGGCCGTTGAGACGGGCGGACAGGCGTTGGAACCGCTGGATTCACTCTTTACTATCATTTTATCGGCTCTTTTAGTGACTGTTTTGCGGTTAAACACAGATTTGTTCAACACTTTCAGCGCTGAAGTAAATTTGGTGTCCAATCGATTGGTCACAGATATGTTGGGATCTATTGATGGCTTGCGATCGCATTTCAATTGATTCTCGGATGTGCTTACGGTCTGAACACCGGACCCGTCATCTGAGTCCTCAACAGTAATGCTAAATATGGGAACAAATCAAGTGATTATCTCATGTCTTATGATTTCAAACACTCGACCATTCATTCGGTAAACTTTTAATCCTATTATGAAGTGAAGTATTGGTTGTCGAAGAGATGATCCGACAATTGTCCACACATTTGGTCCGCATTTCGATGCGATCTCTGTCTCGAAGAACACCAGCGATGGATGAATGGCCGCGAAGTAAGCCATCGATGAGATAGAGCTCCACGTCATTCGTGTCTTTGACAATGAAATTGTCTGAAAGTATGTGTCGTTTGAGACCATCGATGGTCTTCACGTGGGAAGGGATTGACAGCCAATAGTCCTCCACTTCGGGACACAACGTCTTAATGGACACCAATACTGATGTGGGATTCGATGCCATTCTTCCGGTGCTCGCGAGTGATGTCTTGGAATCCGATTTGTGGTCTAATTTGTAATCAAAACTCAATTAATAAACAATTAATTCAATAATTATTCGAAACAAAAGTCACAACAAATAGAAACGCATTTCGATTTGTGTCACAATTCATAGCCAATAGTCATATAAACTGTTATTGAAATGACATAACAATCGGTGTATTAATGAACTGAACGTACATTAAATCAAACCATGAATTATAAGATAATTACAAGCATTTGAATCACAATTAAAACCACAATAAGAAGTGGAGGAATATCACCACACCATCAACTGATTGCACACAACTGTTACGCTATATATGGGAACAAATGCAGTGATTATCAACTCTTATAACTAAAAGTCAAATATAAAGTTATTAAATATAAAATATTTAATTTAAAATGTCATTCATTGGAACAATTACTTCTCTATTGTCTTTGTCTGGCACTGAATCCATTCCTCCAGTTCTCAGATGAGTTAATGTCTGAAAATCAGGCCAATAATTATGACAAGAAATTGATAATCAAATCAATTTATTGATAAAAACAGAATTCAAACTAATTATTGAAAAATATATAAAAAGAGAAAATAATTATAAATAAAAAGTAAATGAATTACAAATGGTATTAAAAATAGCCAATCAGTGGACATATAAAAGCAAATATCATGACATGTGTTAATCGAGATCAATGGTAGCGCTCATACGGACGGTCCGGTATTGTGGGCGCCGGGAGTGTCCGCCACCGCGTCTGGCCATCTGTCGGGTCGGATCAGTGCGTCTACACAGCGGACACTGTCTGTGCGTTTTCAGCCACTCATCGATACAGCGCTTGTGGAACCGATGGCTACAGTAAAGAGTCCGCTGCCACCGGTCTTCGGCGCCGCCATCATAGCCGCCGATGTGACTGTCAAACGGGTTCAGACATATTGAACACGAGGCCAGAGATGAGTAATTCTTCAGCTTATTGTCCGCACTTTTGAGTCGAAGTTCAACGCAATCTTTGTCTCGAAGAACATCACCGATGGATGAGTTGCCGGAGAGGAGGTCGTCGTACAGATAGACCGCGACCTCATCCATGTCTTTGTCGATGCGTTCAACGGTAAGTATATCTCGTTTGAGATCATCGATGGTCTTCGTGTCGCCAGTAATCAAATACTCCATCCAATTGTCCACTTCTGGTCGCAATGCCTTTATTGATATCAAAACAGATAATGGATTCGATGACATTCTTCTGGAGAGCGCGAGTGATGTCTTGAGGTCTGATTTGTGGACTAATTGTTCTCTAAAAAGTGATTTAATAAACAATTAATTCATTAATTTTATAATCAAAACACGTTTGTTAAGCCCTAAGCTCTCAATTCACGACATAAATAACATAACAATATATTATTTATGAATTAAACATACATTTAATTGAATCAATCAAATGTTGAATTATCAAAAATTAATTATCAATTGATTGGACACAACTGTTACGCTATATATGGGAACAAATGCAGTGATTATCAACTCTTATAACTAAAAGTCAAATATAAAGTTATTAAATATGAAATATTTAATTTAAAATGTCATTCATTGGAACCATTACTT